TCATATTTCAGCAGGTCATACGTATCTAATATGATTGAATATACTGTGTTTCCAGTGTCATTAATAATTCATCCATCCTACGCGAATACACTGCTCTGATGTTAATAAGTCTAAGCTCGCTGTCAATGTCACGGATAAGGGGCAAGGAATGAGGCATCACAGATTAGACGAAGCAGAGTGAATGGTATTTTCCTTAGCGTTGTAGACCTCTCATGAACTTCTTTTCTAAGCTCAAAAGGTCACGTTATTTACCAGTCGACAAGTCTAATTATGTTTCTAAACAAACTCATTTGAAGAGGAAACTTTAGAGGTCATGTTTTGTAATTAAAGTTGAGGAAATCAGAGTTGCATTTTCATCATACCGTTCTGCTCTTGGAACAGAGGTCTACTGTTCATGGGCAAGATGATCGGACAATCCAACATATGATAATGAACGATATCAGAAAGTGAAGGAAACATATCCTTTTCGTTTAGATAGCACGATATAGAAAAGTCAGTGAAATGGTGGCGCGCAGAGTTGCATATTGATACTGTCATCCCTTCGAACAGAAGGTGATATCTAGACAAAATAAGATAAAACACAATCCCAATATTCTTGAGTCATTAACGCGGACGGTGTAAAGTAAGGCACACTCTGCTTAATGCTTCTAAGTAAGTAAGCACTACTTGGCAAGGGCATACATTTCTTCTGAGTGATGTGAATTGGCGTGTTTTGACTCATTCACAAACTTGCTTCTTGAATACCGCTGGTGGTTAAGTACCACGAGCCGTCTTCTACTTAGATGATTTCTCCATTCGACTAGAAGCAATGGGCAATGAATGGTACCTTATATGCAATGTAATGACTTCCATCGTCTTACGCTAGCGCAGTATTTGTATAAAGTGAACAACATAAGTTTAGACATAAGACTTCTTGTTGGCAAATTGTTCAGTCATAATGACCATGACAGCCGCCAGATCTTTCACCTGGAAAAATACACGATTCGTTGCCAAGCTTACAGTAAAAATCTGACAGAAACAAAAAGAAACGTGTTTGCTTCTATTTGTGTGATCATTACCTCGAGCTGGGGGGTCATGATCACAGCTGCATTCGAAGCTTTTCAACACTTTTGATATAAAGCACCAATTGCTGAATGACAGTTAGATATATTCCTCGTCAGTTGAAGATTTGACTCTATGTTGTTTCTTCCTTCCTCCTTCCTCTTATGTACTGGCCTACTGGACGATATTTGCCGTGTTTCACCTCGCACAAGAGATGCCTATGGGCTGTAGTAAATGATTTATGCTCAAACTGTTGGTCTAGCAGGATCAACCTCCCTTTCTTAAGCTCTTGACCTGTGCTGTGCCCGGAATAGGTTATAGTAAAGGGATGCATAGCTGCAGAAACATTGCCCTGATGAATTAGGAGTAATGAACTGTCTATCAAGTACTCAACGAAATGTTAAATTTTCAAAGGTTCAACGCAAGCAGCTAAATTACGCCTAGTTTAAGAAGCCATCGACAGACAGCTGCTTCCATACTTACATGAGCACGTCGTGAAAAGACACCTCATCTCCATTATGAAACTGCTCCATTTCATAGCACATATGTTTGAAGAGTATCCTGTCTTTTTCCGGATCGACTTCCAGTCGGCCCTTTAGCAGTCTCAATAAAAATTTCACTCTTCCAACTCGAATCGTACCCTGAATCAGTTTTGAAATCAAAACTAAAGGCAAATCATCAACTAATGA